TTGATCACCCGTATGAGTCATTACAGTTTTAAATAGTTGTAGTATAGACACTAGACATACTACAATTCAGTTCATAATTACACTACATCTAATCACCAATTAATTAAATTCCCCCACTGTTGATGGTTCAAACTGAATTGCTTTAATGCTTTTTTGAATGGCGTCAAGTTGTTCATATGTCGTATATTTGAAGGAAGAGTGTTGTACAACTTGGGAGCACTGTATACATACAGAGGCTGTCCAACACACTTTTATTGGAAAAAAAGCACAACATAGTGATGTTACAGTGATGTACAGAGTTATAGACTGGTTATGCTAACTATATTACAATCAAATTTTGTGTTTTCCCACATTTCTTAATGATGATTGGTATGAGATAATTCCTCAAAACTCCCTTCTAAGCTCAAATCGCGATCATCACGCATATTTTGTGCCTGCAATGTCCTTACAAATGGACCAAAAACACTTGATCTTATTATCGGACCCATTAGTTCATTTTTCATAACCACGTGCTCGTGCTCAGCTACTAATCCTCTACAAGTCTTGCTATGAAAAATGATGAAGAGTAGTCTCGAACAGTTCTACGTAAATACTGCCTCAAACAGATAACGACATATTATAACATCAAATGTCAAGGAAGCTGTTAAAAATATTGGAATAATAATTACAACCTCCATCGAAAAATTCTGATTCTCAATAATTTTCATTTCACTCATCTTTTGTCATGCTTTGTCGGTTTATTATTATTAAGTAATATTTTTGCTTGCAGCTCGTCTGAAGTGTCAAAATTACTTTCATAATGAGAGGGATTTAAGTATGAGAGACATGTCACATGCGCAGAACCTGAAATTCCCTTCCTGCGCAGTGTACATACCAGAGCGCCCGACCCTCATTATCGACACTTTATGAGCTTATGTCTTATCTTTCTCTTATCTCTAGTCTTCGTGATCATGATCTAGGGGGCGAGATAATAGGCGCAAAGAAGTTTAATGATAAGGAGGTATTCTCAACAGAAATATCTTCGAATGCGGGTTTAAAGTAAGTCAGCTTTGGTGAAGGTTGATATTACAAGTCTAATACTGAGATAATGTAATTGCTCTCTCTGCGATAATGCTTATCTGCAATTTGAAGCATTCCTTCCTGTTACTGTCGAAAGCAATATGTTGCCAAAGAAGAATGTAGTGCGATCAACTAAATGCTGGTAGTTAGGCATTGTTTGAATTAATTAGAGATAAATTGATGCTTCATTCAAGCAGAGAGATGAGGAAATTGCCATTAATGAGTTTAATGCATGGTTGCTTTTGTGCTTTGTTTTGTACGATACAGCAGCGTCACTAAGGAAAATATATCAAATGGTAAGTAACCAAACCTGTTCGGACTGGCTTTAATATTGTGATCACTTCACAAGACTAATTTGTCTACAAATTCTAAGAGAAGTGCTGGATCTTGCCCTCGCTATGTCTATCTTTCGCAAAAACTATTTAGGTCATTTGATTATCTAAAAGATATTTCGGAAAGCCATAATATCCATAAGTTTTTCATAAATAAGGACGCTTTATATGTCCACTAATTTTTTGTTTTGTTGAATATATTGTAATACTCTTGACAACAGACAAAATTAAGGCTTAGCCGGTTCCTGTATCTAAGCTAACTGGACTATTTTCTCACTAACAGCCTTTCTCGATTCATAACGAAAAATAACTTCAAGAAGATAGTGCAATCTCAAAAGTAGTGTTTTCTACAATTTCTTAAAAGTGGCGGTAACTCAGAAACCGTGAACAATCGGATAAGGACATGTATGTTTTATCTGATTGGAAATGACTCTCCCTAATATCCCATCTGTTTGATCCATGACATTTGGGACATTCTGTATATCTTGGTCTCAAGACACCAGAACCAGACCACGGTATATATTCTTCCTATGATACCTAAAGCTTCACAATGACCTAGAATGTGTCAAATTAAATGATTCTTAGATAGATAGATGCATTTATGTTTGCTCATAAGATATTCATTGTTCCTCGTATCCCAGCATGTCAAGGCATCCTTATTTGTGCTTACTAGAACATCGTGTAGATCCCAAAATGACACCCAACGTTATCTGACAATAACTTATTGGCTTAAGCGTCATTAACCTAGCAAATAGTTATTCACCTCACATATCTACCTCTGCTTATCCTGGATACGAAGCAGCACAAAAGGTCTCTCATCCTCATCTTTCTACATCGGAAACTCTAGCCGCTCCTTGCGTCACCATTTAGAGTTCTTACTGTACCGGGAGAAGTCGTACCCAATGTCCCCTTTAACGCCAACCCTGGTACCAATCAACCAAGGCCGACGTCACCGACAATCCAGGTGCAGGGAAGTTAGCAGTATCGCCTGAAGCTTCGGCAACTTTTACGGGTACTACCACCTGGTCATCCATAGTACGACTGTTGGCAACTGTCAAACAGAAATCTACTAGATCCTTAGGGGTGCCGAATGATGATAATTGAGATGAGCAGAGTACACAGTACTATAAGCTCATGCAGTAAATATAGTGTGCGGACACGTAACACAAATACATCAAATAGAAAAAAAATAAAAAAAGACAGTTCATAGCTATAAAGTTTGTACACTCCTCCAGCTACCATACTGCACTTTGAAGCTATTAACTGAAGTAGCACCAACCACTCTTTCAGGTAAACTATTCCAGGTGTTGAATACGCGGTTGGGAAGAAACCACTGTCGGACTGTTGTTTTAAATGGCTCCTTATGCAGTTTGAAGCTGTGTCCGCGTAGATTGCTGCGCGACAGACGGTATAGATGCATGAGGTTGGTGCCCATCAAACCATGAAGTATCCTGAACGTAACTATAAGATCGCCACGAAGTCTTCGCTCAGAGGTCAGGTTGAATAATTCAAGGCGATCTTCATAGCTTGGTCTTCGTGCTCCAAAAGGGATACGAGTAGCCCGACGCTGTACTGATTCGATGAGATTTCTATCGCGCAGAAGCACAGTGTCCCATACCGGGCCAGCGAGTTCAAGAATTGGCCTCACAAATGCCTTGTAAATGTAGGCGCAAGCGTTGACATCGGATCCTTTGAAAGACCTCTCCAGCATGTATAGAAGTTTCTTGGCTTTTGATGTAACGTGGTGAATATGCTCTGACCAGGAAAGACGATCGTTGACTACAACGCCCAGATCAGTGTGGCTGGAAACTGCTTCGATGTTGTGGTCAGAGATCTTGTATGTAAATCGCGGATTTGTCTTCCCGAGGTGAAGGACACAACACTTAGTTAGATTTAAGCCAACTGACTGACCATTGACAAACAATATCAAGATCTCGTTGAAGCATATCAGAATTTACGACAGTATTGTAAATCTTGGTGTCGTCGGCATAAGCTGAACATGTGGAGGAAATCAATGCGGACAGGTCACTTGTATACAGAAGGAACAGCACTGGCCCCAAGACAGAGCCTTGAGGAACTCCACTTGCTACATGATGAAGGTGAGACTGGCTATCACTGACGCGCACAGAGAAAGTCCTCCCGGTGAGAAAAGCCTTAATCCACAGTAACAACTCGCCTCTTATTCCCATACATTCCAACTTAAACAGAAGCCTTCTATGTGGTACGCGATCGAAAGCCCTAGAAAAATCTAAGTAGATTATATCAACAGGAGTCTTTGTGTCCAGATACCGAGTCCAATCGTTGAGAGAGTGGAGAAGGTTGGTCATTATTGATCGACCAGGGAGAAATCCATGCTGATTCTTAGGGATAAGGTCATTTTCGAAAGCAAATGACAGGAGCTTATCTAATATGATTCTTTCAGCTATTTTGGCGGCGATAGGAACGAGACTTATTGGTCGATAATTTTTAGCGGAGGATTTGTCGCCCTTTTTGAATACAGGGGTAACAGAAGCACTAAGCCAGCATGAGGGTAGGGTATGAGATCTAAAAGATGATGTGAATATCAAGCTTAATGGTAGGGCCAGTGCTGAAGCGCAGGTTTTAAGTACAGCAGCCGTCATCCCATCTTTACCAGGGGAGGAAGAGGTATTCAGATTTCGCAGGTGCATTAATACATCTTCAGGCAGGAACTCAACTTCGCAAAGGCTGTTGGGACACCTATGGCAGATAGTGGTCGGTAGAAGGTCTCCATTAGGCTCATCGACGAAGTCATCACTAAAGGACTCTGCCAGTAAGTTGGCAGATTCGGTGGCATCCATGTGGAGATGACCGTCAGCGTCGCGGATCTGAGATGATGAAACTTTGGAATTCAGGTTTGTTCTTAGATACCGAAACAGCTTCTTCTTATTTTTGGAGGTAACGAGTTTTCGTTCATAAGCATGGGAATGGAAATAGGTCGTACCTAGTGATTTCTGACTAGTAGTAGAGTAGTAATTTACCAAAACAAGTGACCCAACAGTTTAGGCGCAAGCGGGTCTACAGGCAATTCCTATAATGCAACACCTACTTTTAGAAGTATCTATCAGATCAATAGGAGTCATTATCCGTTAGCCTTATGTGCCAATCCTGAGCCAAGGTTACCATATACATTTCGTGCTATACGAGATCTTCTATCAATCGAAGCAGGTCGTACCCACTGTTCTCTCTGAAGCCGACTACGGTACTCTTCAACAAATTCGATGCCGCTAACAATTCAGGTGGAATATCGTCAACTGATGACACCAACTTCTCAAGCCAAGGTTGCCATTTTCAGTTGTTGCTGTACGCTGACAATCCGATGAGGTACCCTTTGATCCCCATATCGCCGTCTCTGATGACAATCAACCAAAACACCGCAAATGGTCAGGTGCAAGGGCGACAACAGGCATCGCCTGCTACTTTCAAGAGGACTACCACCACGCCGCATCGACGGTACTACTACCGGCCGACGTTGCCGTTTCCGGTGCCGTGGTTCCGCTCCTCTTTCCTTTCATTTTCATATCGCATCCACACACAAATTTGATCCGGTTATAAATAGCGGAGGGAACTGATCGCGGACCATCACAAAGACGCCAGTAGTGCCGCGATAGTACTCTAGGAGCTCTCTTTCTTCCAATCAGCTTCACCGTAGCTGCACGAACATGGCTGCGAGCTCGCTGGTAAGCTTCATAGTGCAAGGTCACAGCTTCCGTAGTAAGATTCGCTGAAGGTCAAAGCTTTGGTGGTACGACGTACGGTGACAAGTGGTACTCGGTTCAAGGTTGGACTGTTGCGTCAAGTGCAATGTGAAGGTCGCTCAGTGCGCGTATGTCGTTATTGGTGACAATGATAGTGTAGGATTTGGTTTAGAATTAAATGGCTATAATTGTTTAACATGTGTAAATTGTATAGGCTTTGAGTACTACTCTCGGCATAAGGGGAAGTGAGCCGAGAAATTGCTCTAAAATTTTATGCTGCTGCTTTTTTTGACATATGTAAATTTTGTACGCTCCAAGTATTACTGACGAATAAGACATCACTATAAAATTACTCTAGTGGTGCTCTTTTATTATTAGCTGCTTGGCACATGCAGCAATGTTTATGATAAAAGTCAAAAAATAAATGTGGTATGTGTAGATTCATTAAAAACATCAGCAATTGCTAATTTGCATTCATACAGGGTGGACTCAATTACTCTCCTCTGGTAGTGGTATCTGAGAATATTTTACCGGACAATGTAAATTTATTTGTTGGCATTGTACTCATTGATCTTCCTGTCAAATTTTTCTTCGAATTTTTATGGTCTATTTTCAAAAATTTTGACTGAGATGGTTGATAACGAAACACAGAAAATGCCAAGACGAACTTACCACCTTATCTAAATGCTGAAAGTTTTGTATATATATATATATATATATATATATATATCTTGGAAAATCTGTAACCATTAACATATTTTTGACACTTCGAGACTTACGAGATTCCAACCAAAGAGCTTTTATGACCACCAAAGCACATATTTATTGTCAAAGAAAGGTGGCGGTCGAACTGATATGGAATACATGAACTTGATAATTGGGGTATTCTAAAATGAATGTTTTTTCGCGCCGTTTGCATTCAAAAAGTATTTGATCTAAACGAAATTTTATTTTTGTACTGTTTCAGGTTACCTCACTTGTTGTCCTAGCTTTGATTCACGTTTGCAGTGGAGGAGGTCATGGAGGGTAAGTTTCATCTCATTCTTGTAGTTTGAGGTTATCGACATAACTCAAAAAAAATCAAATTGACTAGATTCAGGAGAAAAAAATAGCAGTCATCGGAGGATCAGCAGTGGATAAGGGGCCTCTATGAAAAAAGTGTATTTTTTTAATGCGCGCGCACACACATTTTTTCGGGCATCTTTTCCTGAAAAAAAATATTTGTCATATAGGATTTTGATTATTTTCCTGTTTCAAACCTAAATTTGAAGCTTCGTCACCGGACATTTCAATTTACTACCTAATTAAGAATGATTTCGTCATGATTATCTGGTAATCTGCCAGTCTGTACCTGTACCACCAACAGAAAAGAAGAGTAAGGGATTTGCTAACATAATTATAGGCAACCCAAATCTACACCCTACGTGTGCCCTTCTGCCTAAGTGTAGGCATAAATGTACCATATTACATAAAAATCATTGTTTACCTTTATTTTTGGTTCCTGCTCTTTTTCCGTAAAACATCAGGAAATATCTGAATGATTTCAATAAATCGTGGAAAATGAGATCGCTTTCAGTGGAAATTCCGAAAAATCGCTAGGTTCAGCAACACTGCTGGCGAGTTTGGAAATCCTGCTAGATACATAAAATTGACAATACTCTAAAAAACTGAGAATGGATTTTGTGACATAAGTGAAAAGATGTCTCAATTTCAGATATATTTACCTTTTTTCACCTGAAGACTAGGCAGAGAGGTACTTTTTACAATGAAAAATTTGACTTAATTCAAAATTTTAGTTATTTTAACAATTCTAAGAATACGAAGTCGTGGATGACAGCTAATTCCTTCATAAAAGTCTCTTGATGTTGTCGAATATTCAAAGGTGTCGGCTGCACCTCCAGTCAGTATTTTTACGATGCATTAAATATAACGATCACAATAAAATCCGCTGCTCTCTGACGAAAAATTATGAGGCTCCAATCTAGCTGTCGTCAGCTATGAATTAGTTGCTAACAAGCAATTAACTCCACCAACTGTTACTTCATTAATGCAGAGCGATTAAGTCTTATCTTAGTCGGAACTTTGGTTGAAAACGCATAAAGCTGTCATCTGGGAAACTCTTGGTTGTTAATATTTCTTTTCAATTAACCGTCTAAGGAGTAGGTTTTTCAACGTCTATATGGCGTGTTTTCTAACACACTAGCTTTCTATAATCTATATCTATATCCCCAGCTAAGAAGGCCAACATTCGTCTTCTGTAGATTTATTTGGAGAGGCAAGCCCACTTGCCACAGATTATAATATAAATATATAACACCTTTTTATTCTGCGCCCTCGATAACGATGAAAGATTCAGCGGTAGTTCTGCTAACCTTAGGCAGTTTAAAAATCGGACTAACAAAGGTTCTTCAAGCTCCTCATAGCAGATGCGGTGCTCTGGTACTTAGCTTTCTACCTGCGCGGTTGCTGTGGTGTAAAAAAAGTAAGTTAAATAAAAGCTTGGAAATATATCACCCGGCTTGAATGTCGGCAGTTCTTGTAGCACAACTGTTTAAATCCAATCACTAGATTGAGTTGACAGACACCTAGACCTTTTTATAAAATGTTTTTGTCTCCTAGATGTCTACAAAAGGTAAATTAGCGCCGTCATAATACAGTTTTTCTGCAGGCTGCGGGAGGTAATTCTGGTTTTTATCTTGGAGTCTCTTTCAATAGCTTTCCTAACGGGACTGTTTCTAAAAATAGATCGATTCGAAAATGCTGGTATTGGGTGAAAGTACTGATCATTTATTTATCGGGTACATATTTTTGCACAGACAAAACAATATGACTTTTTTAGAACGTTTCGTGAGGCAGTATGTTTGAAAACTTATTTCTCGAAAGACAAAGTAGCCCTTTACGCTCTCAATACCTATGCTATGATCTAAGGGCCGTATCGTCAGTCGTTCCTACAATTGTATGACCAATTTGATGCAAATAGATATTTGTAACATAACCTCAAAGTAGAGCGCTGACACGGCAGAGTAGAAAACTATGAAAATCAACGAGTCCACATCGCAGCTCATCCAGTAGATGGCTCCAAAGGTGTACAGTAACATTATTATTATACTTATTATTATTATCATTATTATATCAATCTCTATTTATATTTTTTTTCTTCATTCCAGGCACAAGAAGGTGATAATCCACGTCCCGTTCAAAGTGAAACACATCCATCACACGCACACGGTCGTCAAACACGTCCCCCACCACGATCACCATGAGGACAAGGAATTCTACAAGGTGATTGGCTATTCGGGCGGCATCGATGACGGCGAAGTGGTGAGTCACGGTCACGGAGGCGGAGGAGGAGGCGGTGGAGGCGGTCACGGAGGATTCGGAGGCGGATTTGGAGGAGGAGATGGAGGACATGGTATCGAGATTGGACAGCCGAGTAAGTAGATGAAAACCTAGGTTTTCCGAAGAAATGTCAACTTTAAAGCAGCTGTCGTTCACTAGATGTTCACTTGTAGCAGCTGTGAGTGTTGCCTAAGCGTCACGACACTTGAGGTAGATGGTTTGGCTCTGATGTGCACTAGAAGAGGCCATTTATAGTTAGCGTAAGCTATATATTCTATACTAAGGGTCGTTGTTGTACGAGTATTTCTCCGTAGGTGGCGCTCAAGGCCACCAGGCGTGGAATGCGGTAGCGACCACCACTTGATATCGAGGGCAGATTCAGGAATCTGTTTAGGGAGGATGCAGCGGTGATCACAGCTCTCATGTTCAGGAAGATGTTCGTCTCTGGGGGAAGGCAGGGCTATCGGCGATTAGAGCAAATGCCTTTGTAACGCGGGGGGTGGGATACGTCTAGGGGAGGGGGGCGACATCTCACGAATCAGGCGTAGCAAGCAAACTTTTACACGAAGACACAGCAATATATAGATACCATTTTCTTGTAAGAGAAATGGGAGATTTGTTCGACTAGGGGGGGGTCGTCGCACTCACCCTTTACTAGATCCACTCTCGCTTGAAATAATGACATTATGTAGGATTTCAATGACATTATCTAGATTTTTTACATAGTACCCCTGCCGAGTTCCTTGCCTAAAACGGATCTTATTTGAATTTGAAATGGAGTCCTTCTAGGCTCGCTAGATTTTGATGTCCAGGAAAAGACGTGTATTGTTGCTGAATAATAAAATATTGTACCCAGTGCTTCAAATTCGACTCTCACCGTTGGGATCTCGGAAACGGTAAGAGATACGAAGTCCCTTAAATGGGGGAAAAACGAAGTTTGAGTAGTTTTTTGGCCCTAACTCTGTCGCCACTGGACCGATTTCCAAAAACTGTAAAATCTTTTTCATCCTTGGCTTAGTAGTAACCTTGTGTGAGAAATGCAACAGAACAGCTTATCACATAATTTCTTGCATAAATTGAAGATTACTTCAGATTTTGAGATAGGCTCCCCGTCGTGATAAAATATTTAATAAAAAACGGAACCAATCGTGTGTGATGTAATTGAATTAACATGTGATCAGCTGTCATTTTCAATGCCAACTATAAAAATATTAATTCAACTGAAAAAACTTTACAATGTCAATATACGTATATACTAAGTGACATATAAATCCGAACACCCAGTTTAAATGGTTTTATTTTAATAAAAGTTGGTGAATTTATTTACCTTACTGTAAATAACAAGTGAACAAATTTTCAGCCTTATCAGTTGGACATTCCGGTTTTTATACTGCTTTTTTTTAATTCACTGAAGCTCTAAAAATGGATATTTCAGCCGAAGTAAAGAATCAACGTTGGCGGATTTTGGTTCTTGACATCCTTTACGATCGGTTACGATGCCTACAGTACGGAGACCTGTACGATTTCGTCAACTTAGTGAGTTTGATAGTGCAGTTAGAGTGCAAAGAAGTGTAGACACTGTGGTTAGGTGTTGTCAGGCATGGCTTCGAGAAGGCCGTACGCAAAGAGCAAGCGGCACTGGACGCCGCCGTAGAACAACAGACCGTGAAGATCGCCGCCTAAGATTATTGGCCTTAAGGGACCGTTTCTCCACTACCGGGTCCATTGCAAAGGAATGGTTTGCAGAACACGGAAGACCTATTGGCATGCGAAGTGTTTACCGACGAATGAGAAGTTTTGGCTTGTTTTCATACCGGCCACACTGGGTCCTCCCTTTAACTCGAGAACACCGACGTAATCGCCTTGAGTGGTGCAGACAACGGTCACTCTGGGATCAGGAATGGAGCAGTATTGTCTTTAGTGACGAGTCTCGATTTTGTTTAGGCATGCACGATGGTCGTGCCAGGGTTAGAAGGCGACGTGGTGAAAGGAGGAATCCACAGTTTTTTGTTGAAAGACATGTTCATCACACTGTTGGAGTTATGGTTTGGGGTGCTATAGCTTATGGTTCCAGGTCACCTTTAATCTTCATCAGAGGTAACATGAACGCGCAGCGTTATATCCACGAAGTTCTAGAACCCCACCTTTTACCCTATCTTGACACCCTAACAGATCCAACTTTCCAACAGGATAATGCCCGACCACATGTTGCAAGAGTCACAATAGACTTCTTTCAACATAATGATGTCATATTGTTACCATGGCCACCAAGATCTCCCGACTTATCCCCAATTGAGCACGTGTGGGATATGATGGGTAGGAGATTGCTCAATTTGGAACGTCCTCCTCAGACTCTAGAAGCACTTCGAGAGGAGTTGGTGGTTGCCTGGAATGAGATACCACAGGAGGACATTGACCACCTGATCAGAAGCATGCCTAGGCGCGTTGGAGAATGCGTAGCACATCAGGGTGCATCCACACATTATTAAAGGTCAAAGGGCTTTAAAGCAGTGCAATCATTTTGAAATTTTTATCATTTACTTATTATGCTTCATTAAGTACCTATACAAAATTTTATTAAAATAAAACCATTTAAACTGGGTGTTCGGATGTATATGTCACTTAGTATATGACAAATATTTTTGGAAGCAGATTTAAATCAAATTAGAAACACTGGCATATCAGTTCTAAATGCATTCTATATTCTTGCCTCATTATAAAATTATAGTTGATGATTGAACATTTTTACCAGTGGTCCAATTTTTATACCTAATGTTCAAATCAAGTTTACGTTAGGTGAATTACTTGTTTTAACAATTATTTGCAACTACAGTTTATGAACGTGTAAATTTGAAGCTTAGCATTACAAAGTAACTATTATTCAGACATAGTTTTATCTATTCTTCATATTTTTTCAAAGATAATCTTTTTTTTCTAAATCCGATCCAACCCATGACTGAGCTAGATAATACGTTGATGTATTTGTGTCACCGACACATTTTGAAGCTGCCTTAACGAGTTTCGTTACAATTACCTCATCTTACTTTATCTTTTTTTTTCTTCCTCTAAAGTTCATTCTACTCTGCAGTTGCGTCATATTAATATTAACGATTTTCCAGCGGTCTAATCAATAAACAACAAATTACTCACCAATATCTATAATCACATATTAATTATAAAATTGCCTCTACTTTCACTTATAGAAATTTAATCGGAACAAGATCATGGTTATTAAAATGCTGGCTATTTCTTCAATTTCATCATCTACGGTTTCCGATATTGAATATTTCTATTTAAATCAAATGCTGTCACTATCACTTTCACTGATCTTGGAAACATTGGCATCGTTTACCTTTTTCCGAGGTTTTGTTTGTTGTTCATGCATTTAAGCACTACATACACGTCGCTTCCACATCAAAATTCTTTGTTAATTCAAAAAATGCCCAAAAAGGATTAGGGAAAAACTCTCCGTCAAGACATTCTCGCTGTTTTAAAGTTTGTTACTTTCGTTAAAGCATAGTTTGTACAGACTTCAACACTTTCCACGCCAATAATAATAATAGAGGGATGAAGACTATCCAGCACTTTCTCTTCCTTATTCCACTAACTACGTCAGACAGATCTCATTTTTTGTCCATTTTTTTTCTTCAGTTCATGGCCACATCGAAGGTGGCATTGGAGGCGGTCACGGTCACGGTCTGGAGGCGCACGCGACTGAAATCGGAGGAGGCGGAGGATTTGGCGGCGGTCATCAAGCGATCGAAATCGGAGGCGGCCACGGAGGCGGTGATTTAGGCGGCGGATACGGAGGCGGACATCAAGCGATCGAAATCGGAGGCGGCCACGGAGGCGGTGATTTAGGAGGCGGATACGGAGGCGGGCATCAAGCGATCGAAATCGGAGGCCATGGAGGCGGTGATATTGGAGGAGGATATGGGGGTGGCCACGGAGGAGGTGATATCGGAGGTAAGGACAACAATGTTTGACATTAATAAGACGCTATTCACCATTGCGAAATACATCTTGATCTGTCATACATAGCCGCGTACAATAAGTAAGTCGAATTTTCGAAAGGTCTCACACTTCGGGTGAAAGGAAATGGTGGATACGAGGGGCGGATCTAACTCGGAACTTTGCCTGGTAACAAAAGGCTTAAATTTATGATGAGGTGTCGTGAGAAATAATTTTATAGAAAATGCGATTGTTCGTTTATACAGCGTGTCCCAGAAGTCGACGTCAAGCCGAAACCGGGTGATAGGCAAAGTCATAACAGCTATCAGAAAAATATTTAAAAAAATTTTATGTATGTGTTTTGAAAATTATAGGTCTTTGAAAAAGATATAGAAATTTTACACCCTACGGCAGTCTGTAAACTCCTGTTACTACAAATATTAACTTTTTTTGGATTATATTTTTACAATGTAATGAGGAATAATGCATCTTCAAACTAGTGTCTCAACCTTACTGCCAACTTTTCTCGTTCAGGAAAAATTGCCACTTATTTCCCAACCAAGTATTCCAAAGTAAAACTTTGTTCAACTTTAACTGGCTGTACTGGAAAAAATGTACTACGAGAGTTTGGCAAGTAACCTTAAAAGTTGGCGCATTTAATAACGATTCCAAAATGGTATAACACTTAGAAGATTACTCGTTAACTTATGCACAATTTTTATTTGAAAAAAAACATGAAAAATTTTCAAAATTTATTAATTAAACAGCGATTATGAATACGCACAAGGACCCTTAAGGATAACTGTTTGCACAACAGTGGGCGTCAAAATGCTGCTGATGATGATTTACCTTTACAGCAAATGCTCAAACTGTTTTCCTTCAGCCGCAATACACGCTCGACATCTTCTTAAAAAAGATCGGGTTATTAAACGAGCGAATCCACGGTTATTAACAAACTCAGCTGCTTCCAATAGTCTTTGCCGTAGCTCAGCTACATTTTGAATCGGCTTGAAATACACTTTTTCTTTTACAGTTCCCCAGTAAAGAAATCTAAAGGATTCAAATCAGGTGATCTGGCTGGCCACGGTATTGTATCAGACCGCCTTATCCATCTGCCTGGAAAGTTTTGATCGAGATACTCTCTCACTGAGAGTGCATAGTGCTCTGGGCAGCCATCATGCTGAAACTACATGTCCCTGTAAATACTCAGTGGCACCAATAAATTTTGTACATGATTTTTCAAAAAATCCAAATAAACTTCAGCAGTCAAAGTCTCTGGGAACTCAAACGGACCGATTATTTTACCATTTAAAATTCCTGTCCAATGGTTTATCTTGAAGCGATATTGAGATTTATCTTCTCTGATCAAATGTGCGTTTGCTACGTGCCACTCGTGTAAGTTATGCAGGTTCGTGTACCCATCTTTCTTAAATGTAGTCTCATCCGACCATAAATTTTTTTCAAAGAACTGTGGATCTTTCCTGTGTCTTTCTAACATTGTACGACAAAAAGCAACTCGGGGCTCATAATCCCGGGGCAGGAGAGGTTGAACATGCTGTATGTGGTATGGATGAAGCACATCACTTACTTGCTATTGCACACTTTGATACCGATCAGTACTCCTTCGTTTACTGCGCATCTTTACATGTTCGTGCTTGTTGATTTCATACTGTTAATAATTTTGGATTCGTGAACTGGACTGTTGATCGCTTGTAATTTGGATTTGGACTGTTTAATTGCTCTTCAAAACAACATTTGCTTTCCTTAGACTATCTTTGATAGTGTGATTGTGCAGTGCCGCTATGTCCGTGTACACCGTACAAGAATATGCCAGCATGCACCTCATTTATGGGGAATGCAGATGCAAAGCTAGTGCTGCAGCGAGACTTTTACCCGAATGCAGCTCGTCATCCAGATCATCGAGTGTTCAAAAATGTGCACCGCTTACTGTTCTCAGAGGGCCAACTACCAAACCAATCACACGGTGAGGGAAGATCTTTCCTTCCTTAAGAAGACGTGGTGCTAGGAGCTGTCGAAGAAGACCCGAGTACTTCAGTGCGTACAATAGAACTAAAAACAGGTGTGCCCAAAAGTACAGCCCATAGAATCTTGCAAAAAAACGTGCTCCATCCATACCACGTACAGCGTGTTCAAGCTCTTCTGCCCCGGGATTATGAGCCCCGAGTTGCTTTTTGTCGCACAATGTTAGAAAGACACAGGGAAGATCCACGGTTCTTTGAAAAAATTTTATGGTCAGATGAGACCACATTTAAGAAAGAGGTGTACATGAACCTGCATAACTTACACGAGTGGCACGTAGCAAACCCACATTTGATGAGAGAAGATAAATCTCAATATCGCTTCAAGATAAAGCATTGGACAGGAATTTTAAATGGTAAAATAATCGGTCCGTTTGAGTTCCCAGCGACTTTGACATTTTATGAGAGTGAGTGAGAGAGTATCTCGATCAAAACTTTCCAGGCAGATGGATAGGGCGGTCTGGTACAATACCGTGGCCAGCCCGGTCACCAGATTTGAATCCGTTAGATTTTTTTTACTGGGGAACTGTAAAAGAAAAAGTGTAGTTCAAGCCGATTCAAAATGTAGCTGAGCTACGGCAAAGACTATTGGAAGCAGCTGAGTTTGTTAATAACCGTGGATTCGCTTGTTTAATAACCCGATCTTTTTTAAGAAGATATCGAGCGTGTATTGCGGCTGAAGGAAAACAGTTTGAGCATTTGCTGTAAAGGTAAATCATCATCAGCAGCATTTTGACGCCCACTGTTGTGCAAACAGTTATGCTTAAGGGTCCTTGTGCGTTTTCATAATCGCTGTTTAATAGGAAATTTTGAAAAAATTTCATCAGTTTTTTTTCAAATAAATATTGTGCATAAGTTAACGAGTAATCTTCTAAGTGTTATACCATTTTGGAATCCTTATTAAATGCGCCAACTTTTAAAGTTACTTGCCAAACTCTCGTAATACATTTTTTCCAGTACAGCCAGTTAAAGTTGAGCAAAGTTTTACTTTGGAATACTTGGTTGGGAAATAAGTGGCAATTTTTCCTGAACGAGAAAAGTTGGCAGTAAGGTTGAGACACCAGTTTGAAGATGCATTATTCATCATTACATTGTAAAAATAAAATCCAAAAAAGTTAATATTTGTAGTAACAGGAGTTGACAGACTGCCGTAGGGTGTGAAATGTCTATATCTTTTTCAAAGACCTATAATTTTCAAAACACATACATAAAATTTTTTTAAATATTTTTCCGATAGCTGTTATGAGTTTGCCTATCACCCGGTTTCGGCTTGACGTCGACTTCTGGGACACCCTGTATAAACAGCAATTTTCGACATTCAATTCATGTTTGCTCATTTAAGAAAAATATCCCAACACTTCTTCTGATGTAACCTGAATGTCACCATTTACATTGGGAAGAGGAAATCCGTAAAGTATATTCCAAAGCATTGTACTTGGTTTTCCACGATTTTTTCCCTTTCCTTTTCCCTATGTGGATTTAAAAACAAACTTCCGATGTGCTTATTGGACAGTCGTTTATTATATTCCTTTTTCCAGGTGGTTACTCAGCCCCAATCGCCAGCCACGACCTCGGCGGAGGCGGCTATGGAGGCGGTCAAGACCTTGGAGGCGGTCATGGCGGATGGGTGGCTAGCGGCGGATACGGAGGCGGAGGCATAGGAGGCGGACATGATCTTGGGGGCGGTCACGATTTCGGCGGCGGATCGATAGGAGGAGGAGGAGGCATCGAACACAACGCCATTTCGCAGGAAGGCGGCCACGATTTCGGAGGTGGATACGGAGGCGGCGATATCGGAGGCGGTGGAGGTGGTGACTTGGGACATCACGGCTACGATTGATGAAGCTGCTCTACGTTCTTATTTCTTATCTCTAGAGATGCCAAAACTAGTCGCGCCGATTTCGTGAGAAGATCGTGAAGAGAATTTGTACATAGTTGAGATGTGAGGACTTGGTCCAGCGATAAAATGTGGCTCTGTTCTTTACAGCCAATAATGTTTGAAGACGGAGTATAGTTACGGGCTAGATCACGTCGATCAGCATTAGTAAGACTTGTGATGGAGATGACGTAGTTGTTTGCTACACACCGAAACGAAATTACAAGCTACGGTGAATTTTCCCAAATGTATGCGTTCAAACAGACCACAGTATACAGAGAGCTTCAGGAAGCCTTAAAGGGCGTACCGTTACCTTCAATATATCCATGGGTTCGTCAGTAAGTTCAATATTTGAAGACGAAGAAGAAAAAGCGCAAGACATTATTTGCATTCAGAGAAATAGTGCAAGGTTTTATTATTAACGAACTTCCAGAATCATGTTTGGCAACCAACCATTAAAAAAATTTCCAGTGAAACAGAAGGTTCATCAGCTTGACTCAGGTTAAGAAGGCTGATTTCATCTATAATAACTTACGTAAAACAATCCAATCACCCTAGTGGAAATACCAAAATCCTATGATTTTAAAATATCACTGTTCTATCAAGAATATACAACTTTGTCTTGCTACTTCTTATTAGATATAGGGCTTCACTCATTATTGGCTGTCTTGACTAGAAAGGCTGAACCGTCAACTAGATAAAGGCATTATCTTTCAGACATGGTGATACTATGACTTATTTCTATGACTGATACACTCTGCAGTACTATCTTTAGCTTAAGCACTTTTTTTACTTCATAGAAGAAGCTTTCTCCAAATTCTGTTACTGCATTACTGAAAATGCTTAACCATCAAAGCTATCGATAACCATAATCACAAATACCGCATACATGAACGCTAACGTTAACCTTATGTGACAGGTGTGATAAATATCAAATAGGGTTAAGGTTAACGTCTAAGTGAGCGATGCTTGTGATTGCTGAAATTCACTATTGATGAAAGTGTATACAGCGAAAAACCAAGTTGATTCAGGTCCGTTCTGTACTGTATATTATTAAGTTAAGCACGTTTTATATTTGATTGTTGATGTTGTTGTTTTTTACTTTTGTAATAAATGTTTATTTAATTAATTGTCCTTTATGTTATCTTAAACTACCAATTTCTCCCCTTTTACAGCGTCATAAAATTTTATTGGTAGGTGAAACTGCTTCACACGTTAGAAGATTATTTAAGCCGCTTGCTACAGTTTCATTGTGTCATAAAGATTCCTGATAGCTTTGAACTTCGTGGAAGTGAAGTAATATCGGATAACCTCAACACAACGGTAACCATAGATTTATTGATTTTCCAAACTAACATTTCAAAAACGAGACGTAACAAAATTGGACAAAACGGTATCCTTCCTTTTCTAGATATACGAGGGTGATAACTTTTTCTGATTTTTTTTTTATTTTTCAACATAGTCTCCTTGTAACTCTCCACACTTCTTCCAGCGATGCTTCCATCTCTGTAACCCGTCCAAATATACTAAGTGACATATAAATCCGAACACCCAGTTTAAATGGTTTTATTTTAATAAAAGTTGGTGAATGTATTTATCTTACTGTAAATAACAAGTGAAAAAATTTTCAGCCTTATCAGTTGGACATTCCGGTTTTTATACTGCTTTTTTTCAATTCACTAACGCTCTAAAAATGAATATTTCAGCCGCAGTAAAGAATCAACGTTGGCGGATTTTGGTTCTTGACATCCTTTACGATCGGTTACGATGCCTAAAGTACGGAGACCTGTACGATTTCGTCAACTTAGTGAGTTTGATAGGGGCCGTATAGTGGGACTTCTGGAAGCTGGACTTTCTTTTCGGGTAATTGCAGTTAGAGTGCAAAGAAGTGTAGACACTGTGGTTAGGTGTTGTCAGGCATGGCTTCGAGAAGGCCGTACGCAAAGAGCAAGGGGCACTGGACGCCGCCATAGAACAACAGACCGTGAAGATCGCCGCCTAAGATTATTGGCCTTAAGGGACCGTTTCTCCACTACCAGGTCCATTGCAAATGAATGGTTTGCAGAACACGGAAGACCTATTGCCATGCGAAGTGTTTACCGACGAATGAGAAGTTTTGGCTTGTTTTCATACCGGCCACACTGGGTCCTCCCTTTAACTCGAGAACACCGACGTAATCGCCTTGAGTGGTGCAGACAACGGTCAGTCTGGGATCAGGAATGGAACTTTAGTGACGAGTCTCGATTTTGTTTAGGCATGCACGATGGTCGTGCCAGGGTTAGAAGGCGACGTGGTGAAAGGAGGAATCCACAGTTTTTTGTTGAAAGACATGTTCATCACACTGTTGGAGTTATGGTTTGGGGTGCTATAGCTTATGGTTCCAGGTCACCTTTAATCTTCATCAGAGGTAACATGAACGCGCAGCGTTATATCCACGAAGTTCTAGAACCCCATCTTTTACCCTATCTTGACACCCTGGCAGATCCAACTTTCCAACAAGATAATGCCCGACCACATGTTGCAAGAGTCACAATAGACTTCTTTCAACATAATGATGTCACATTGTTACCATGGCCACCAAGATCTCCCGACTTATCCCCAATTGAGCACGTGTGGGATATGATGGGTAGGAGATTGCTCAATTTGCAACGTCCTCCTCAGACTCTAGAAGCACTTCGAGAGGAGTTGGTGGTTGCCTGGAATGAGATACCACAGGAGGACATTGACCACCTGATCAGAACCAAGCCTAGGCGCGTTGGAGAATGCGTAGCACATCAGGGTGCAACCACACATTATTAAAGGTCAAAGGGCTTTAAAGCAGTGCAATCATTTTGAAATTTTTATCATTTACTTATTATGCTTCATTAAGTACTTATACAAAATTTTATTAAAATAAAACCATTTAAACTGGGTGTTCGGATTTATATGTCTCTTAGTATAGTACTCGGCGTGTTTCTCTACAAAATAGTTGTTCACGAAGGTGATTTTCTTGCAATTTTCAGATGATGAAGAAGTCGATTGGGGCTAGATCTGGTGAGTAAGGCGAATAGTCAAGTAGTTCAAACCGTAATTCATAGATTTTCGCCATGCCAACCGCTGAGGTGTGAGCCGGTGCGTTGTCCTGATGAAAAAGAATTTTCTTTTTCTGCAAATGTGCCCTTTTTCTGCAAGCTCCGTCTTCAGCTTGTCAAATAATGATGCGTGGTATGCTCCTGTAATATTTTTTCCTTTTTGAAGACAATCGATTAGAATAACTCCATGATTGTAGTCCACTGTCTGTACTGCATTTTTGTTTCGGGAGTATAATGGTGTACCCAACTCGGGTTTATTGCGCCTAAACTGCGTCAACACAGCGTTGGAAATGTTCATTGATACCCGTTGTTTGTCTAACGTGAGCAAGCACGGCACCCCACGCGCGGACAGTTTTCTCGCTGATTTAATATGTGACAAACACGCTTTTTCGACATGTTCATAACCTCTGCTACCTCTCTCACTCCAATTTGACAATCGTCTATCACCATTTGGTGAACTTTGGTGATTTTAACGTCGGTAGTTGCAGTTTTTGGACGTCCCAGGTATCACGTATCTTGAAAAGTGACATTATGCCGATTTTTTTTTACATTATGCTGTTTTTTTTTTTGATATTATAGGTTATACAACGAGATGTTAACTTAGTACTTAGTTGTACGTGTTGCCTGAACGTCATGAGGCTTGTTATCAATCTTTGGCTAGGATGTGATGTAAAATCTGCTCCTGAGATGGCATTACTGGAGGTCTAAGCTGTAAGTTGTATGTGTTGATGATAATTACATTGGGTTTTTGTCTCAAATACACTTAATTGAGATTCAAAGCTAGAAATTAGTTGCGCATCCACTTTTTCTTATCCCTTCTTGAAATTACAGATACACAATTGCTGAATTTCTAAAATGAAAGAGATAAGAAATAATTATATTCACTGTACACTGTCGAATTACAAGCCATATACATGCTAACAGTAATTACACACAGCGCGCGCGCGGTGATGATTTCCCGTAATTCTCCTCAGTTTTTCGTAATTTATAACTTCGAACATAACCTCTCTTCAGAAAGCACAACATATAAATAACCCGTCATATTCGGCATATTCAGTAATGATTTTCTGACACAGCAAATATCACTGATTTCATACACATGCAGACCAATTCACATAATCATCCAGATGCGATCTTGCTATTCAACCAACTTTCTTCTTAGCGATAAAAACAACAGACCCGGATCACTCAGCCTCACAAAGCTATGCAACCAGTAATGCGTAGTTTAGTTGAGTGATTCCTCCTTAGATGGACGTTCACAACGATCCTAGTGAGCAAACGTGGAATGACTGTTTGCGCCCTAAAAACTACCTAGTTTGTAAGATGACATCTTATAGGTTTTTTTTTTTTGACGTTTTATATGTTCCTAACATGAAACCCATGCCGAACGTCCATCGTTTCCCAAGGTCTTATGGCCACGTTTAAATGCAGCTGCCCAAAATTTCACCATGGGAAATGATGGTGCAGAGTCCCCATAGATAGATTCCAACTCATCTTTGATTTGCGTAGGCGTATTGCCTTTCAAAAACATATGACAGCTCGATACTCGATTTTGTCCATTTTCACAAAAACACTTACATAACATAACAGTTGCGCGTCCAAAATGGCTGAAACTCTGGTGAGTAACTGTCAACAGATGAATAACGAAATTCACTAGCTTTTACTTAGAAGTGCTGCCATCTTCACGTTGAAGTCGGAAACTATGGCGGCCGCCCTCGTATGTGTTGAAAGACATAATGGTTTCTTCGTTACATCAGTACGCATAGTAATGGATATCTGCATTTTGACTCAAATCACGCAAAGTGTACAAAGAAAGATGTACTAATGTTTATTTGACAGAACCTAACAATTATCAAATCAGTCAATATTCGCTAGAGACAAAGTTTTCCTGGAAAATGTACTTTATCCTCGACAAATTTTTAACTATCAAATTCAAAGACCTAACTTTCCACCTATACCTCCAAGACAGCTACCATCCACAGCTAGTGCACCCTGTATACCATACGTAAGAGGTTTATCCGAAAGATTTAGAGGTGTTCACAAAAAACTTGATATCAGACCTGTCTTCAAAAGAAGATCCCTACTGTCTAACACAAAACCTAATGAAAAAGACAAAAAATTCAATACAGGGTGTTTCAGTTTATTGTTGCATAACTTTAAGATTCGATAGAACTTCTAAAATTAATGCATAAAGTCTATATAAATATGGGTCGAAAAATGCGTGGCTTCCGAAATACAGGGTGTTTAAATTTACTTTCTGAAATAGTTTTTTTTTAATATTTCGAACAATATTTGATGTATAACAGTGAAAATTGGTATACAAGGGTTTTTTGGTACGACAAAACGAACCATGGGCATAGTTTTATTGTAGCCGCTAGAGGGCGCTCTCTACTGTACCTGAGCTGTATTAAAATGACCGAAAATGTTTTCTTAGTCCAATTTTTTGCTTTTTGAATAAAAAAACTGATTCTTTGCACTTTTCAACATAAAAAAGCTTTCTTGTGAATTTTCGTTATAGTTAGCCGTTTTTGAGATATTTCGATTTTTAAGGTTCGATGCATTTTTAATTATTTATGATAAAATAACGTTAAAAAGTCAGTATCTCGATGATTTTTAGAAGTAGGCTGTGCCTGCAAACATTTTTGAAATTGAAAGCAGAATAAGGTTAAACGTCAGTTAGTTGACAGTTAGTTTTGTTGTCTGTTGAAACCTGCAACGTTTTTTTGCAATTGTGAATGGACGAAATTTAGTTTCTTTTACCTGTTTTTTTTTTGTAAGTTTTATAAAAATGCCATTTGTAAATGGAAACGCAGCAGAAGCAGCCAGAGAATACGCACGAAGATTTCCAAACAGACGACATCCAACTCGCTCAGTATTTGTAAACATAAATGTTCGTCAGCGCAGATTTACCCGTATGATTCTGCGTGAGTTTGATAGAGATCCGACGACAGGTGTTAGGAGAGTTTCTGGTGCCTTGGGAATTTCAGCAAGCCATGTTCACCGTGTTCTTAGAAATG